AAAAAGATGGAGTGCTAAATAAATAGCTATGAGTTTGGTCGACTGGAACAATGGAATTAGCCAAAAGTAGGGCTCAAAGTGGGCGAAATTGCCGCTTTGTAAATATCGCCGAGGTCAATAACTTCAGTTTTCCATCAAATTTTGTTCTTTTGGGTGTCATTACAATCAGGAAAAGATTCTCTATCATTTTATAAAAAAAAAATTTTTTTTTTTTTTTTTTGGAAATTTTGTGACGCCAGGACACACCTTAGGATTTGGGTTGCGACAGTCAAGGGGTTAAGACTACAAATATTTTAAGGTAAATAATGAGTGAACTGTATATGCATTTTAATGGTCTGGGATGCTTAAATGTCATAGAATATTATGTGTAGGTAGGGTGGCCTGGAATGGTAGCCTGGTTGACTACCATACATACCACACTTGATTTCTTACAATAAATACTACTTGTCTCACCCTAGATTAAGACTACAAATATTTTAAGGTAAGTAATGAGTGCACTATATGGTATTTTACTTTTTTATTGTTTTTTAATGCCTAGTTCTATTGCTAAATTAATATATGTTAGTGTAAACTTGTTATCTAGTATTTTGTATGCATTTATAAGGGGAAAAAAAAAGGGTGTTTCACTTTACGGCGGTAGCCGGGAACCTAACCTAACCGTATAAGTGGGGCCCTACTGTACACAGATTACAACAAAGAAATGAGCGAGATACTAAAGTCACAATATGACTCAGTGTTCAGCGAGCTGTTACCCAGACTAAGGGGCAATCAACACTCCAAATGAATTCTTTATGAAAGAGACCCAAAATTTGGTCATCTCAAAAATCTCAGATATTATCCTAACACCACAAGACTTTGAAAAGCCAATAAATGACATGTGTATGCGCTCTGCCCCAGGCTCAGACTCGTGGAACTTCGTGTTCATTAAGAACTGCAAGAAGCCAGTCTCGTGCCTTCAGCAATTCTATGGAGAGGGAGCATGGACACAGGGGTCATCCCACGCTCACTAAAAACAATAGACATAGCCCCACTCTACAAAGGTGGCAAGTAAGCAATTGTAAAGAACTAGAGACTGATTCCCCTCAGGGAAGGTTCCTTGATGTTGTGAGGGGCTCTTGATTTAGGGAATTGGATCTGTGCTCCAGTTCCCCGAATTAAGCCTGAATGCCTTCCACATCCCTCCCAGGCGCTGTATAATCCTACGGGTTTAGCGCTTCCCCTTGATTATAATAATAAAAAATAATAATAATAGAGTCTGATTGAACTAAAACCTATATCAAAAAAAACTTTGAAAGGGTTCTAAGAAGCAAGATCGCCAACCACCTAGATACCCAACAATTGCACAACCCAGGGCAACACGAGTTTAGAGCAGGCCGCTCCTGCCTGTCCCAGCTACTGGACCATTATTACAAGGTCCTGGATGCTGCATAGGGTAAACAAAATACAGTTTATTGAAAGAAAGATGATGATCCAGCCAAGACTATATAAGTCAGATAAAAATCTCGGGTCCAGCATTTCCGATTTTATAGTTGCAAGACTGCCAGATGCTCCTGTCTCCTTGTCTAAGGAAATGATATTTATGGAGGAGGAACATAATGAAGCCTCCTTTGCTGCAGCATTTTAACTGGCAGTGTCTGTGGCAAAAGCACTCAATTTTCCTTCATGCTTCTTTAAGAAAAATGAAGCTTTCATGACGAACAATTGTTAAAACTGGTAACTGGAGTTAGTATTGACTAAATGTTTCTGTAACCAAGTACTGTACTTTGTGTTGCACCTAACCCTTAGATGAAGTACCTAAGTGTTAAGGATGACCAGAAACTACTACTGGCTGGGATATCAAGCAAACTGCTTTCCAAGTGCCAGCCATAATCAGGGCTAGCAGCACAAGTTACCTGGCAGCGGTTGGGTTTTGGGTCCTTTCATGAACTAGATCCCGACATAGGCTCCTTCAGCAACCAGCAGAGTAGGTTGCCTCTGTCACAATCTTGTCAATATGAAGAAGAGAGCACAATGTACAAATGCACATAGAAAAAAGGGAGACTGCCAATTACTGATAAAAATGAATAATTACCCTCCACTAGTCTCCATAATCCCAACCACTGTAACAGTGCCAACTTTCCCAGGGATCACCCTTCACTCTACCCAGGGCACAACCCCCACAATTCTTCTCCAACAAGTAAAAAGAGGAAGACTTAGCAAAACAGCCTATTTAACCCCTTCAGCGGCTGTCATGTAGAACTACGTCACTGAGGCCAGGACCCCTCACATACTTCAACATAATGAGCTCAGCTCACTCTGATAAGCTGTGAGTGGTAAATGTTGACCTAGATATCCGAGACTGGATCTGTGGGGGTGAGTGTGCACAATACAAAAAAAAAAATCCTGCACCATGTGGTACACAACAGGAAAAGCAAAACTGACCATGGTATGGCTTAAAATAGCGACTTTCAGATGGTTTTTATGGTTTTATTAGCTGTTTCTTGGTATCATTTGATAGAATGGAAGGCATACTACTCAAAATAGAGATAATTTTGTTTGGTTTCAGGATCAGAAGTAGCTTGAAATTTTGCTCAAAGTAGAAGAAATATTCAACTTTGCTGATTTTCCTAAGGAGAGGTATGATTGCCCTTGCACCCCTTGGTCTGTTTAATGGATTCTCAGTAAGTCCCGATTCAATTATTGGGATGTCATAAACCATGATAATCATTACTGGCTATATTTTATTATCCAGAAGATGGAGTAAATCTTTTATTTTAGTGATTATGAATTCAGAATGGAGGGCAAGTGTTGGAAAGGCCTAAGAACCTGATAAATGAACAGAAAAAATGCTTTAGTGCCAGGAATGTCCACATTATTTTTTAAATTTGGGGTAAAACTGGCCAAAATAACCAACTTCTGTGCAATTTACAGTGTAGTCATAATAGTTGAATGGACCATTTCTTATCCTCGATTCATAGAATGGAAGGCATACAGGTGAAATAGTTAAGAATTTAGTTGAAATGAATACTGAAAATGACTTAAAATTGGACTCAAACTTGGTGAAATTGATGCTGCATAAATTGCACCCAGAACACTAACTCTTTCACTGCATAATTTTCCATAAAATTTTAGAAAAAGATTTTCTATCACTTCAGAATTTTTTTTTTTTAACCCTTTCAGGGTCGACAGGCCCTCTCATGAGACTTGTTCTCAAGGTCGGCCAAATTTCAAAAGAAAAAAAAAATGATTTTTTCTTATGAAAAGATAGAGAATCTTTTCCCGATCATAATGACACCAAAAGTATGAAATTTGATGGAAAACTTACGGAATTATGCTCTCGCGAGGTTAGCGGTCTCGACAATGTTTATGCATCAACTATTTTGCCCACTCTGGGGCCCTATTTTCGGCCAATTCCAGTGTACTTGTCGACAAAAATCATAACTACACCTACCATCCAACTTACGACCTGCTCGACTTACGACCACTCGACTTACGACCGTGTTTTTTATGCCAAATTTCTGGGAAATACACAACTATTTGTGTTGTACACAGTGTTTATCCTAAACCTTACAGTATAAAATACAGCACTAACAGCAAAAAAGTAAACTAAAACATGAAATACCAAAATAAAACAATAAAATAAAGTCATTACAAAAATGTGATGTTGATATTCAGTAGTAAAGTTTGACTTACGACCATTTTGACTTACGACCGGTTTCTCGGAACTGAACTCGGTCGTAAGTCGGATGGTAGGTGTATTTCGCTAGAACTCCATTTTTTCTATCGAATAAGTACAAGAAACCACCCATTTACCGATTTCAACTATCCAATACAGTGGTCAGAATTTAGCAATTTTGCCAATTTCACACAAATTTCAAAAGATGCCAAATTTTCCAAATAGGGTCCAGAATAAACAAGAAAGACATTCCTGGCACTAAAATAACATTTCCTCTGTTCATTAGTCATGTCCCCATGCCCCTCTTACGTACTTTTGCTTTCGACTTTGAATTTTTATTCTCACAAAAAATAAAAGATTTACTGTTATGCAGACTACTGCATTGTAGAAATGGTATAAATATTATCAGCGCACTTGTGAAAGAATATTAGACTCACCAGTTGACGTGTATTGGACGCATAGCATGTTTTTGTATACTTTTGAACTTTGGTAAAAATCGAACATTTCTGCTACTTTGAGCGCAATTTCAAGGTAGTTTTCTTTGTAAAATCAAGTCAAAATCATCTAAATTTCTGTAATATGTCTTCCATTCTATAAAATGAGACCAGGAAAACTAGAATACAACAATAAATACCATACGAAAATACAGTGCAAAGTCGCTGTTTTAATCCAAAAACACGGTAAAATTTTTTTTTTCTCATTACGCACTGTGTGCTGCAGGATTCTTTTTATACTGCGCACACTGACCACATAGACCCATTCTCTCATATGTAGGCCTACCAGCTTTCTCTCACAAGATTTAAGGCGCTAGAATTTAGGTGTACTAGTACGTCAAAAACCCTGGTGCATAAGACGACTAGTACGCTAAAACCCTGAAAGGGTTAAAGGTGGACACCGGGAACAATACTGACTTTGAAGGTTTGCAGAGTGAAAGGGTTAAGTGGAGCCTAGGAAAAGCTATCAGAATTCGGCTAGTAGTACCCGAAAAGGGGAACTGGAAAAAACACCAAGAATTGTACACTATCACTCACTACTCTTGGATTTGAAGCTGACTTCCAGTAATACCTCTGAAACCACATTTACCACCCTGTGACCCACCCAAAGTCCCCTTTACAGTTGAATCCCCTTGGAGCTTTGAGGATCAGTTGGCAAGACAGCAGTGACATGTTCCGTAATCCTCCACAGTAAAATTAACAAATGGTGAAAAATCCACCATGCTAGCCAAATAATGGAAGGCAAAGGAGAGATGGGTTCTTTGACAGTTACTTAAGCTCTCCCACCACAGTAAGGTGACCCCACCCTCAGGGAGAGAATTGTTAGAAAGAGCACGTAGTCTTACTTGGGTAGTTGCTTAGGCCTTCAGTGATCCTTGTATTATCTCCATATAGTTCTCTGCTGATCCATGTATTTTTATCCCAGTATCTACCCAAGGACTCTTGGTTTGTCACAGCCTACATTAAAAGGATAAACCCAGTCACCATCTCTGATCTGCATAGATGTAAGATTTATTAGTTACGAAATTTCCTGAAAGTCCAATATTAAGTGTATTTAAAATACACTTAATATGCGAGATTCAAGCATCAAATTGTGTTGGAGTACAGTAAATCCTCTATTTAACAGACTAATCACAGGGAATGGATAGCCAGTAAACAGGGGATTTACTGTACCCCAAGAGCATATGATGTTTGAATCTCACAATACAGCCTCTCCTCACTTAACGACAGGGTCCCGTTCCTAAGACCACGTCAGTAAACAAATCACCGCTAAGTGAAGAGCATACTATAATGGTGGCGGGTTTGTGTCAACCATCTTTGACATTGTTTTAATGTCACCTTTAAATGTCATTTTTAAATGTTTATACAGTAGTGTACTGTATATTGTAATAAACAGAATGGAGGAAATCAGCTCTAATATACATTATTTAGGTATGCATACTGGTCAGAGAGCCTGTCATAAGTCCAAGTCGTCAGTAAACGAGTACGTCGCTAAGTGAGGATAGGCTGTATTAAGTTTATTTTAAATAGTAAGTAACAATGGCCAGATAAAGAAAATATTGTTTTGCTGTGATCATAACAATGAACAATTTGACAACCAAAAGATTTGGTACATTGTTTCTAAATCAATTAACACACAGGGTTTAATTCTGTATTTCCAAAGACTGTTAAATGGAGGGTTTATTGTACTGTAATTAAATTCCTGAAAATTTTGTATTAAACTGTCAATTTCTGAAAACAGTGCTCTCCCATTTGACTTCTGATTAATTCACACACTGGTATTCTTTTACGTATGCATTACTTTTGTGTAATATCCTTAACAATATATAAAACTTGTATATAGTCATCTTAATCAGTATTCCTGATACCTGTTACACATGAAATTTAACTTTACTAACAAAAATAAGTTTCTCAATTCTGGGACAAATTTATATCAATGATATTTTTACTATTAAAAATCAATCTTGTTTATTTCTAGCAATTTGAATAGCTTGCCAAATTACAATATTCCTCCTTAAAAAATGGCATGGCAAAATAATTTATACAGCTCTGCTAATCTTCTTCCACCCTGCAAGTATCCCTACAATAGTCTTCACAAAATCCATGATATAATCTACAAAATCCCTAAAAACTCTACAAGAAATCCCTATACTATTTTCCAGAAAATCTCTGCAATAGTTGTAGCACAAAAGCCACTGCTCAGTTAATCTGAGAGTTCTCTAGTAAAGGACAAGTCCACTGTACAACATGGAATAATTTGATGTTAGAAACAAAGCTCATGTCAATACCTGGGCTGCAGTACTTACACTCAGGGAGACGTGCTCAACCCGAATAGATCACAGCTCCTTAACGCTCCCCCCTCATATCATCTTCGTATCTACAATTTATACCACAATAAGTGGGAATTCATCACATCTGCAATCACAGAATATATCAGGTTACCATCTCAATCTTCTGTAAAAAAGAAAATCTCATTATCAGTAGCAGTGCTATGGGAAAAGGGTTATAAAGATGGGTAAACAAATAAAAAATACAGTAGTTTTCCCCTGTATCTACAGGTGATATGTTTTCAAGACCATTTTCATTTACATACATTCTTTCTTTCTTTCAACACACCGGCCGTATCCCACCGAGGCGGGGTGGCCCAAAAGGAAAAATGAAAGTTTCTCCTTTTACATTTAGTAATATATACAGGAGAAGGGGTTACTAGCTCCTTGCTCCCGGCATTTTAGTCGCCTCTTACAACACGCATGGCTCACGGAGGAAGAATTCTGTTCCACTTCCCCATGGAGGTAAGAGGAAATAAACAAGAACAAGAACTAGAAAGAAAATAGAAGAAAACCCAAAGGGGTGTGTATATATATGCTTGTACATGTATGTGTAGTGTGACCTAAGTGTAAGTAGAAGTAGCAAGACATACCTGAAATCTTGCATGTGTATGAGACAGATAAAAAAAAGACACCAGCAATCTTACCATCGTGTAAAACAATTACAGGCTTCAGCTTTACACTCACTTGGCAGGACGGTAGTACCTCCCTGGGCGGTTGCTGTCTACCAACCTACTACCTACAATTTACATACATACCTATGATAAAGTTTAAATAATAAATTAAGCATAAGAAGTGGAATATTAGCACTTGTCACTGATGGGAAGCACTTCATGGTTTCTCTTAGGCTTTGATGAACTGCCAACTGTCTGGAGCTGACCCAGATCATTAGCTATGAAACTTCCTGTTAGTTTAAAAAAAAAAATGCAATCCAATGTGGGATAGTAGATGGCAGATTGTAGGGTACTGGGACCTGGTTGAACACAATGCACAGGGCAATAATAAAAACATGCTATCTCAGGGGTCATAGTAGGTAGGCAGAGAAGACCCTTATTTTTACAATGTTTAACTAGTGAACCTTTACCAACCACAGTGAGCTTCATCAAGCCATGTTGTGTCTTTGAATTACCATTTGGCTTATCCCATTGTCTATTTACTCTACCTGAAAGGTACTTGGAATGCAGTCATCAATTAGATTTTAACTAACCAAGTGGTAGCCAGCTCTTAAATAAAAGACCAAGTTCATTGGTTACAAAATTATCCAGTATTGTTACAATCAGGCAAAACAATTTCATCTCCATCCACCACAAACACTCGGCTACCTGCTCTCTCCTATTAGTCCATTAACCCTTTATCTCCTAAGATGACTTTTTTTTTTTTTAACAAGTCGGCCGTCTCCCACCGAGGCAGGGTGACCCAAAAAAGAAAGAAAATCCCCAAAAAGAAAAAACTTTCATCATCAACACTTTAACTTCACTCACACATAATCACTGTTTTTGCAGAGGTGCTCAGAACACAACAGCTTAGAAGCATATATGTATAAAGATACACAAACATATCCCTCCAAACTGCTAATATCCCGAACCCCTCCTTTAGAATGCAGGCATTGTACTTCCCATTTCCAGGACTGAAGTCCGGCTATATAAAATAACTGGTTTCCCTGAATCCCTTCACTAAATATACCCTGCTCATACTCCAACAGATCGTCAGGTCCCAAATACCATTCGTCTCCATTCACTCCTATCTAACACGCTCATGCACGCTTGCTGGAAGTCCAAGCCCCTCGCCCACAAAACCTCCTTTACCCCCTCCCTCCAACCTTTTCGAGGACGACCCCTACCCCGCCTTCCTTCCCCTACAGATTTATACGCTCGCCATGTCATTCTACTTTGATCCATTCTCTCTAAATGACCAAACCACTTAAACAACCCCTCTTCAGCCCTCTGCCTAATACTTTTATTAACTCCACACCTTCTCCTAATTTCCACATTCCGAATTTTCTGCATAATATTTACACCACACATTGCCCTTAGACAGGACATCTCCACTGCCTCCATCCGCCTCCTCGCTGCTGCATTCACAACCCAAGCTTCACACCCACATAAGAGTTTGGTACTACCATACTTTCATTACATTCCCTTCTTTGCCTCCACAGATAACGTTTTTTGTCTCCACATATACCTCAACGCACCACTCACCTTTTTTCCCTCATCAATTCTATGATTAACCTCATCCTTCATAAATCCATCCGCCGACACGTCAATTCCCAAGTATCTGAAACATTCACTTCTTCCATACTCCTCCTCCCCAATTTGATATCCAATTTTTCTTTATCTAAATCATTTGATACCCTCATCACCATACTCTTTTCTATGTTCACTTTCAACTTTCTACCTTTACACACTCCCAAACTCATCCACTAACCTTTGCAGTTTTTCTTTAGAATCTCCCATGAGCACAGTATCATCAGCAAAAAGCAACTGTCAATTCCCATTTTGTATTTGATTCCCCATAATTTAATCCCACCCCTCTCCCGAACACCCTAGCATTTACTTCTTTTACAACCCCATCTATAAATATATTAAACAACCATGGTGACATTACATATCCCTGTCTAAGACCTACTTTTACTGGGAAGTAGTCTCCCTCTCCTCTACACACCCTAACCTGAGCCTCACTATCCTCATAAAAACTCTTTACAGCATTTAGTAGCTTACCTGGCTGGAATATTGCTGCACACTAACAGCACCTTTCAAGGCAGGTGAAATTGCTGACCTAGAAAATGTACAGAGAACCTTCACAGCGCACATAACAGAGATAAAACACCTCAATTACTGGGAGCGCTTGAAGTTCCTGAACCTGTATTCCCTGGAATGCAGGCAGGAGAGATACATGATTATATACACCTGGAAAATCCTAGAGGGACTAGTACCGAACTTGCACAACGACAGCAAAAGACTTGGTAAACGATGCAACATCCCCCCCAATGAAAAGCAGGGGTGTCATTAGCACGTTAAGAGACAATACAATAAGTGTCAGGGGCCTGAGACTGTTCAACTGCCTCCCAGCATACATAAGGGGGATTACCAATAGACCCCTGGCAGTCTTCAAGCTGTCCCCAGACAAGCACCTAAAGTCAGTACCTGACCAGCCGGGCTGTGGCTCGTACGTTGGTTTGCGTGCAGCCAGCAGTAACAGCCTGGTTGATCAGGCTCTGACCCACCAGGAGGCCTGGTCACAGACCAGGCCGCAGGGGCGTTGACCCCCGGAACTCTCTCCAGGTAAACTCCAGGTTACCACCTATTCCATATACTTGGCAACATCTGCCACATGCTCCCCTATCCACTCTATCATACCGCTTTTCTAATCCATAAATGCAATAAAAAACTTCCCTACCTTTATCTAAATACTGTTCACATATATGCCTCAATGTAAACACTTGATCTACACATCCCCTACCCACTCTGAAACCTCCTTGCTCATCCGCAATCCTACATTTTGTCTTACCTCTAATTCTTTCAATTATAACCCTACCGTACACTTTCCTGGTATACTCGGTAAACTTATTCCTCTATAATTTTTACAATCTCTTTTGTCCCCTTCCCTTTATATAAAGGGACTATACATGCTCTCTGCCAATCCCTAGGTACCTTCCCTTCTTTCATACATTTATTAAACAAAAATACCAACCACTCCAACACTATATCCCCCCCTGCTTTTAACATTTCTGTCATGATCCTGCCAGTTCCAGCTGCTTTACCCCCTTTCATTCTATGTAATGCCTCACGCACCTCCCCCCACACTCACATCCTGTTCTTCTTCACTCCTAAAAGATGGTATACCTCCCTGGCCAGTGCATGAAATTACTGCTTCCCTTTCTTCGTCAACATTTAAAAGTTCCTCAAAATATTCTTGCCATCTACCCAAAACCTCCATCTCCCCATCTACTAACTTCCCTACTCTGTTTTTAACTGACAAATCCATTCGTTCTCTAGGCTTTCTTAATTTGTTTAACTCGCTCCAAAATTTTTTTCTTATTTTCATTAAAATTTCTTGACAGTGCCTCTCCCACTATCACCTGCTCTCCTTTTGCACTCTCTCACCATTCTCTTCACCTTTCTTTTACTCTTCTTATAACACTTCTGTTTTGTAAAAACCTCTCATAAGCTAACTTTTTCTATCACACCCTTTACTTCATCATTCCACCAATCACTCCTCTTCTCCTCCTGCACCCACTCTCCAATAACCACAAACTTCTTCCCCACATTCTAATACTGCATTTTAAAACTATTCCAACCCTCTTCAAACCCCCCCCCCCCCCACTACTCATACTTGCACCAGCCCAACTTTCTGCCAATAGTTGCTTATATCTCACCCAAACTTCCTCCTCCCTCAGTTTATACACTTTCACCTCCCTCTTGCTTGTTGTTGCCATTTTCCTCTTTTCACATCTGCCTCTTACTCTAACTGTAGCTACAACTAAATAATGATCCGATATATCAGTTGCCCCTCTATAAACGTGTACATCCTGGAGCCTACCCATCAACCTTTTATCCACCAATACATAATCTAACAAACTACCTTCATTATGTACTATATCATACCTTGAATATTTATTTTCCTCTTCTTCATAAAATATATATTACTTATTACTAAACCTTTTTCTACACACAGCTCAATTAAAGGCTCCCCATTTCATTTACCCTTGGCACCCCAAATTTACCTACTACCCCTCCACAACATTTTTGCCCACTTTAGCATTGAAACCCCCAACCACCATTACTCTCACACTTGGTTCAAAATCCCCATGCACTCAACATTTCCCAAATTTTTCTCTCTCTCTCTCTCTCTCTCTACACTTCTCTCTTCTCCAGGTGCATATATGCTTACTATAACCCATTTTCACACCCAAATCTTTATTTTACTCCACATAATCCTTGAATTAATACGTTTGTAGTCCTTCTTTTCCTGCCATAACTTATCCTTCAACATTATTGCTACTCCTTTTTTAAAGCTCTAACTCTATTTGAAACCCCTGACCTAACCCCATTCATTCCTCTCCACTGAAACTCTCCCACCCTCTTCAGC